AGGCAAATCTAAAATGGACCAACTGTAACTTTAAAATAAGCCTGACAGAAACAAAGGTGATCCACTAATAATTTAATTGCCTGGCTGAACAAAACTCAAAACTTTATTGGGGAAGATAAAATAATTGAAAACCTTTATAACATCTTATCTGCAGTGTATATAGCATATAAAACAGTGTTTCATACATACTAAATAAGCAGAAAAAACTTACTTATAATCAAAAGTTAAAGTAGTCATAGAAGCAAATCATTAGATAATCTAGATATTCATGCTAGCAAACAAACATTTCAAAATAACTGTGATTAATATGTTAAAGAAAATAGGAAAAAAATGGACAAAATACAAAAAAGGTGAATTAGAATAGATGTTAAGAATCAAATGTGTATTCTAGAATAGCAAAATGCAGCCCTGGCTGGTATGGCTCAACTGGTTGCAGCATTGTCTCATGCGCTGGAAGGTTGTGGGTTTGATTCCTGGTCAGGGCATATACCTGGGTTGTGGGTTCGATTCCCAGTCAGGGCGTGCAGAGAGGGCAACCAATCGGTGTTCTCTCTCACATTGGGTCTTTCTCTCTCTAAAATCAATAAGCATAATCTTTTGTGAAGATTAAAAGAGCAAAATGCAGAATCTGTAATAAAGAGTTCATTAGGTGATAATTTAAACAGAAGTCAAGATTAGTGAAGTCAAAGACAGGTCTGTAGAAAATACCTAAACTTAAACATACATTGAGGAAAAAAAGAATAACATTTTGTTTTAATCTAAAAAAGTGGATTTGAGCATAAAAGAGATGGAACACAGTTGAAAGATAAAACATATATGTATTTGGAGTTCCAGAAGAAGAAGAGAGAATGAGAATGGTACAGAAGCACTACTTAAAAAAAATAATGCTTGAGAATTTTCCATATCTGAGGAAATGCATCAATCTACAGTTTCTGGAATCTCAGTAAACCTCTGCAGGATACATACAAGGAAAACTGTACCTAGGCATATGAGTATCAAACACATATAAAGAAAAATCTTAAAAACAGCTACAGAACAAAAACACATTCAAGAGAAAAACATTAAGAATGATAGCTGACTTCTCATAGAACAGTGAAGGCCAGAGGACAACTTTTCAAATCCCCAAAGTAGAAGAAAACTGTCAATATACAATTCAGTACCCAGCAAAAATTATCTTTCAAAAATAAAGGTGAGATGCTCTCAGCTGAGCATGTTGCAATAATTGGTACTGGATTTTCTCTCAACCATAAACACTTGAAGTACCAGACAAAATAAATGAAACAACTGTTTTCAGATGCTGACCAGCAGACAATGTGGGACTATTATCTCTGAAAGAAGGAAACAAATGAAGCATTGCCCCAACTGTGGTATAGGAAAGGTACCCAAAGTAACCCATGCACAGCATGGGAATATTGTTGGGTTAAGAAGACAAAGATTGGAGATTGGGGAAGAAATTGCTGATGTTTGTAGGGAAACAGTTTTGAGATGAGGAAGATATTTTGAGGAATAGCATCAGATATTTGCCTTGAGATGCCTTTGAGGCTTTGGCTGAATACTAAGGTGTTCATGTGTAGGATAAAATCCATGAGATCAGGCAAAAAACAACAGCAACAAAAAATGCCAGGGTACAGAGCTGAGCACAACTGGTAGAACTCACACAGGAAGGGGAAATGTTAAAATTTTAACTTGTAATTCCTGAAGCATTTAGTAGAATGGCTAGTAGTTGGTCTAAAGCTACATTTGTAGTAGGCCTAAAGTAACCATACAGAGAAGATGATTCTAATCCCTACATAAAGAGTACACCAATAAATGTCAAAATTTCAAAGGAAAAAGAACTCTTTGCCATAACAAAAATCAATACTCTTTAAAGAAATTCAACAAAATAGAGACACTCAACAACCTCACATTCACAGTATCTAGTGTTAATAAACATTTACTAGATGTGACAAAAAAAGGACAGTGTGATTCATCACAAGGAAAACAGTTACAAAGTTGCAGAAGTGACATAGGTGACAGAATTAGCAGATACATGCTTTGATACTGTTCACATACCTATACACATGCTCAGTAGGTTCGAGATTTAAAGATAAATATTAATATAAGGAAAGAAATAGAAGTTATAAAAAATGAATCAGATGGAACTTCTAAAGACTTAAGAGTACCAGAAGTGAAAAATATACTGAATTGGATTAGTGGCAAAAATTAGCAACTTTAGAAGATAAGATTGGGAAATTAAAAAGAGTGAACAGTTGAAACTATAAACTAAAGGCAGAAAGAGAAACCAAGGGGAGAAAATTTCACAGAGAATCAATTATATGTGCGACGATATCAAGCTGTGTCCTGCCCGTGGTGCACCTGCTTCTCAGGCTTTCAAACTCAGGCTGAAATCCACACCATCAGCTCGCAGGCTCTCATGTCTTCGAACTACACCGGGAGAGAAAGGTAAAATTTGACACACCAAAATGTGAACGGAGGAGTGTTACTCAGGAAGCAAAAGCAAAAGAGAAAGTTGGTGTGAAAGGATAACGCTCTTTGATAGTTCCTGGCTCTCTTTCCATGTTTCCTGAAACTAGTTAGATTATCCAGAGAGAGAAATTTGGCTTTGGCCATTTGAAGTCAGATAAAATCCTTGTTGGTCTGGGACTTAGGATCGGATCTCAGGAGGTTGACAGAGAGCCGTGGTGGGAGTCCATTTTAATTAATTAATTAATTAATTAATATCCTCATCTGAGGATATTTTTTCTATTTATCTTCAGACAGAGTGGGAGGGAGAGAAAGAGAAAGAAAGAGAAACATCGATGTGAGAGAGACACATCGACTGGTTGCCTCCCGCATGACCCTGACCAGGGCCGGGGAGGAACCGCAACTGAGGTACATGTCATTGGCTGGAATTGAACCTGTGACTCCTTGGTCCACGGGCAGATGCTCTAACCACTGAGAAAAACCGGCCAGGGAGGGTGTCCATTTTAAAGACCTACTATGGACTCAGCATTCTTTTGTTGCTTCCTTAGGTGAAGAAAAAAGCCTCTCATTCAGTCCCCTGGCTTTACAGATTTTGTATATATATACCAAAGCCAAATTTATTTGCTCATTTCTTGCATTTGAAGTACTCCTTGTGACATCCTTTGCCTGAGACTCTTTGCCATAATCCTTAACCACCACACAACTGCAACCAACCACCGCACAACTGCAACCAACCACTTTGTGGGTTGTCCCTCTCTGTGGATTTTGCAGAGGCCTGCCCATTCCCCTGGTTTCTTGTGGTCGTCAACCTTAATTCAGGTGATTTGATGTTCAGCACAAAGGGCCTCCACCAACTTGATCTACTTTGGCTCATCCCAGTTGGATGCTTGGGGCTTGTCCAAGGCTTTGACAGCTGTGGGAATTCCACACACTGGGCTGTCGTGGGTGAGGGCAGTCTTCAGCTCCTCTTGTAAAGCAGTGTTAATGTCCCTCACACCCGCAGCAAGGCCTTCCTCGCCCAGAGCCGTGGGTTATGGGTAGAACTGAATCTTGAAGGCCCCCAAGCCTCCGCCTGCACGCATCTCCACGGCTGCAGGGAAAGAGCAGATTTGTGTGATTTTTATCTTCTTGGCCTCTCCATTTCCTTACCCCAAGTATCAGAGTGACAGAAAGATATAGGCCCTTTACTGGCAGGCAGGATCGAATGATTGTTAAGCCTTTTTGGAAAGTCTGATAGGGCTGGATTCACATCTTCGCTCCACCACTAACAAGATTTATTCAGATAACTTAATCTCGATTTCTCTCTCTGTTCTTATCTACAAATCCAGGATTAACTACCTCATGGGGTTCTTGTGAAAATTATATGAGAAAATCTTTTAAAAACATTTGGCATATGCTCAATGCTCAATAAATGGAAGCAGCCTCTCTGATAATGGTGGAAGAGGGTTGAGTGTATTGATGATGCTTTCTCTAAGCTCCTCACCTCTACTCACTTGCATTTAGTAGTATGACCCAGCACTTAGTTGTATAATTGAAGTACATAATAATTGAAAGTAATGAATATTGAGCTTTCTATATTTCTTTGAAAGAGTTTATAAGATTTCTACACATTTGTTTTAATTGTGTCTTTGTATAAGAAATAATGGAGCCTAGCTTGTGTGGCTCAGTGGTGGAGCGTTGACCCCTGCACCAAGTGGTCACCAGTTCAATTCCCGGTCAGGGCACGTGCCCAGGTTGTGGGCCCGATCCCCAGTGGGGGGCATGCAGGAGGCAGCCAATTGATGTTCACTCTCATTGATGTTTCTATCTCTCCCTCCCCCTTCCTCTCTCTCTAAAATCAATAAAGGAAAAAAAAAAGAAATAATGGATATCTCCATTTTTGCACAAGAGAATCAGATACTCTTTGGCCCAGTGAAGTATATGGAAAAAATATGTAAAAGGACACCATAATGAGAATCTGGGATTTTCATGCATTCTTACTAGACCTACATTGCTCTATTACCTACTGAGTTTATAATAGCAAAAAATAAAATAAAAACAACCCTAATCTCCAACAACAGAAGAATAGACAAATCCATTGTTGTATACTGTGGAATAATTAAAGGAATAAACAGCAGCCACATACATTACTTTGAAAAAGCTTCACATAAAAACAAAAAGAAAAAGAAAAAGCTTCACATTATAATAGTGAACCCAAAAAGCAAGTTGCAAAAAGATATGCCACATGCCATATGTAGTATGGAAAGTTTCAAAATACATAAAATAAAAGAGTATATTATTTTTGATATATAGATACTTGTCATAATAGTATTTTTTAAATACAAATGGTGTATTTAACATCAGTAATGACTGATCATGATGAAGCTAGTATTTAAGATGATTGCCATCAGATGCTATTAATTCCAGTATTGTTTGAATGTAAGGGTATTATGGTGAAGGAAACCTAGAGACATTCCTAATTGAAAGATAAATGGTTTTAATTTGTTGGAATTTCTTTTTAATTCACTAACTTTATGATTTACATTCTTGTATTGCAGGGAAAGGTGGCTCAGACAGCGTGCATGTCAGCTTGCAAGCATTTAGCCACGTCCTTGATGCAGCTTTTGCTGGAAGCTGAAGTAAGGCAGCTCACCTTGGGAGCATTGCAGCAGTTCAACTTGGATGTCAGAGAATGTGAACGTAAGACAGTAAACCATCCCTTTACTTGCTTGTTTTGCCTGTATACTCACATCTGTGAAAAAAAAAAGTTCTACAGTAAGTCTATTGGGTCTTTGTTTCTGATGAAGTCAAAGAATATCTAGATGACAGAAATACCTTGTAGGATACCTAGAAATAGAGTCTATCAGCAAGCTAATTTGTATACCCAGACGTGCTTAGGCCCATATGTAGAACACAGAAGATCCCTGGCCACACAGATGTTTGCAATCTAGAGGGGGCTATAAGGCAGACATACATTTAGTAGACACCAAGGAAAACCTGATTAGTTCAGAGACCTCAAAAGAGTGCAGTTCCCAACCATTTCCTTTTTATGTTTTTATAAAGCTATTTTTACATCATATTTGACCCGTCCCGCAGGTCAGCAACGAGGACTCTAGAGGGGGAGTGAGGATGAGGAGGGACAAGAGACACGAGAAATGGAGACGAGACAGGGCTCTGATCAAGTCTCGTTTATTCAGGGGAAATTCACACAATGTATAGGGCAGGAAAAACAAGATCATTTGTTGTCAAGCGATAGTTATTGAGTAACCACCCCGAAACACGGGTGGAACAAAAGACTGAGCAAATGGTTCAAAATGCAGAAATAAAGCAGAGATATCCTGCCTTGGGGCAGGAGATGGCAGAGCGGATTTTACTTAAAGAAATGCAGAGATAAAGAAATGCAGAAGGCAGAGATATCCTGCCTTGGGGAAGGTGATGGCAGAGCAGATTTTAACAAAATGGATGCCGTGCAAAATGTCTCCCACACATATTTGCAAACCCATAGTCTAAAGGACAAATGCTATGTGTATTTAAGTCAGAAATGCTTTCTAGTATAGGTAGAAACAGAACACCTTAGACAGAGTGGTTTAAACAAATAGGTTTTTCTTTCTCAGAAGCAGTGAGTTACTGAATTGATTTAGTTGCTCAGTGATATCACCAAGGACCCAGGCTCTTTTGTTCTCTCTCCTCTCCCATACTTAAGATGTGGATTTTTCCTCCTCATCTATATTATAGTGAGAAGAGAGAGGAAAAAGAGGGCAGTCACACCTATTCCTTCTACTAAGAAAATAGAAACCTTTTCAGGAGACTCCTAACAAACTTACCTGTGTGTCTCATTGGTCAGAATGCAGTTGTATGGTCACCTCCAACACTAAGGGTAGCTGGGAGATTGAGTATCTGTCAAAGTGAAAGAGGAGCATCATTGGCATAGTTCGGTCATCATGAATCATTCACTTGGTGGTGAACACAAAATTAGGCTTTGGTTAGGAAGGAAGAAGGAAGGAATGAAGAGCATTTTAGTGTTCATTGTGTTGTCAGTGAAAAATGAAAATGAACCAAAATGATGTGATTCAAAACATTTTTTCTTTTTCTAAGAAAATTAAGATAGTGGAAAATTCTGTGAATCTGCTGATACTTCTGCCCATTTAAAAATTTTGTTTTACCATTTATTGGTTTCTCTTAGGTGACTTTGATAAATGAAAATGAAGGTTTTATTTATTGGCTGTGCTATTTTTAAATAAGTAATTAATTAAGACTTCCAGTTCTAGCCATCACAGGTATCAAAGTCACCTTTTTTCTATAAACAACTGTAAAACTGGATAAAAAGTATGAAGCAACTCTTTTCATGAATTGAACAGCAAATAGCACAAGGCTGTGATCCTTTAGAGAGGGTAAGGGCACAAGGTAAGCTTGTTATTCACTCTCATTTTCTGTCCAGGGGCACTATCCAGACAGCAGCACAGGAAAGTAGGTCCCAAATAAAACACAGTGTTTTGCACACATAAACAGAGATTGGCAGATAGGGATGATGAGGCACTGGGATTTGTGGGGCAAGGGACTAGAGAACAAGGAGTTGTTTAGAGAAGTAGTTCTAGAAATCTGCATTAGAGAGCCTGTGAGTCTTTGGTCAAAAACTAAGTTCCTATGTGCAGGGTGAAACTTGGTGAAGTTTGGCACAGAATAGCCCCGGAGGATCTATGAGCTTAATAGTAATGCCAGAGGTTACAGAGTGCTAGGAGATACTGAAATTCTGACCCACCAGAGTGGAGAGACCAGCTAAACATCTTATGCATTCAGTGAGAACCCAGAAGGTTAGACTTTAAGAGTGCTACTCAAGCTTTAGAGTAAGAGCTAATCTTGACCTACTATAACAAAGACTGGTAACAAGACTCAACCAAAGAGAGGTAATCTGCCAATAAAGTAACTGCCTGCCAAAACAAAACTCAATAGTCTTTGAAGAGGAACAAACACATAAAATATTTCAGACCCTCAACCACATAGTAGCAACAATTTCACAGCAAAAAAAGGGTTATAATTTGACATGCAAAGAAACAGGGATATGTGATCCATAACAGAATAAAAAACAGGCAATAGAAGTAGACCCACCAAGAACACAAATGTTGAAAATAGCAGATAGGCCCTGTAGGAATCTGAATAGAAATATACTTAATAATGTAAAGGAAAAGATGGACATAATGCATGACTGTAGCTGACATTTTCTTTAGGTTTGATAAAAAGTATTAATCTACTGACTCACGAAGTTAAATAGATCTTTAGCTGGAAAAACACAAAGTCACACCCAGGTACATTACGGTCAGATATCTAATAAAAAAAGAAATAAAAAAATGATAAAAGAGAAAATCTTAAAAGCAGCCAAAAAAGAACAGACACATTATATAATGGACAGCAATGGTAAGAATTACTGCTAAGTTATCAGAAACAATGCAAACCACAAGGCACTAGAAGACCTTTAAAGTAATGAAAGAAAAAAATAAAGTGTATCAATCTAAAACTCTGTATCTTAGAAAAATATCCTTTAGGAAATCTGTCACCAGAAGGTCTGCACCACAGATCCCCAGTGCAATTACATTGTTCAAAGATGTCAATAACAGTATCTCCTTTCCCACATCTTTTTCTAGAACCTTGGCACTTAAGAAATGACATCTAATTCCCCTTTCTTTGAGCCTGGGCAAGCTTGTGACTTGATTGTATCCAACAAAATGTGGTAGAAGTAGCCTTGTGACTTCTGTTGCTAGGTCATAAAAGATAACGCAGCATCCATCTTCTTAGTTAGCTACTGGATAAATAATCTAACTACCCCGAGGCCTCTATGCTGTGAGGAATCTCAAACCAGCTCATGTGGAGAGACCACACAGAAAAGACCTTATGTCTAACATTTTACATTTTATGTTGTTGGTACTATATTTTGTTATATTCCTTTAAATAGTATGAGATTTTGTTTGGACCTGCATTTACATTACTTGAAATTGGTTGGATCCTTTCAAGACTTGCTTTCAAATTTATAGTGAGTCCAGAGCAGCCCTTTATCTAGGTCTTATTTAAACCCAAATCTAAAGCAATGCCCTTTGAACAATTCTACCCCATGCCCAGGTATCTGGAGATCTTTCAACTCTGGCTGTTGGAAACACCAAGTGTGCCCAGCTCTGTGAGAGCTCCACAATTATTGTGTATTCTCTCCTGGTGGTTCTTTCCACAGCCTTGGGTAGTTCCTTCCCAGCAATTACTACTCTGCCAAATAATCAGTGACACACTTCTCTAGTTTTCCTGAGTGCTCTCTTTTGCAAGTTTCTCTCTGGTAGTTGGCCCTGCAAATGCTAATTGTCTTGGCATTCTGGACTGCAATCTCTGACTTTTCGATTCAGACTACCTGTATTTTGTTTGGGTTCCCTCCCTTTGCCAGCTTTGCATCATAGCCTGGAAACTGCCTCTACACATGCTCACTTCATTTGTTTTCCTTCTTTCAAGGATCACGGCCCTGCATTGACTGTTGCCAAATATCTAAAATCATCCTTTCAGATACTTGGTCCAGTTCTCAAGTTGTGTTTTTTTATGATGGGAAACGAGTCCTCTATTACTCCATTATGACCTCAAACAGAATAAATGAACATCTTTTAATTTTTTTTTTAGAGAAATAATACCTTCTCTTTGTGGAGAATTATTTTGGGGGAAAAAAATCACCGTAATCTCATCATTCATAAATAAGTAACATTCCAGGGAGACATCCAGATGTGATAATATCCAGCAGCCACAGAATTGTTTCAAGAATTCATCCACCAGATTCCATGCATCTGGTTAGCCAAAATGGTTAGCCATTTCTCTGTCTTAACCAATTATTTACTTGGAGAACAAGAACATAATGATTAGCTAGACGAATCAAGATCTGTTCTTGATGTTGAGTTTGAAGTCATTCTTTTCTGAGTTTTGATGAAAGAGTAGAACCTCATTCTGATGTGAGGAAAAGAAAGAAAAGGGCTTTGGAGCAGGCAACTAACAAATACTGTTGGTTCAACAGCATCGTCTGATGACTGATTGGAAATGACTGCGTATTTGATAGAGCTAAAAGATAAAGGGAGATGTAGGGTGATAAAGCTAAATTTTTGGGCCTTGAGGAGGAGGAGTGATGATCTGGGAGAAGCACTAATGAGGAAGGAAAATGCCATCTTATGACCTGATTCTGAATTATTTTCTATGTAGAAGAATGAGCACCTTCTACTTCAGGAATGATAGGGGAATTGGCATCCTTAGCAGAGCACCAGTTCTCAGTTAAGACTGAGAGGTAGAGAGATCGTTTAATGAAAAGGTAGAAACATAATAGAGTTTGTTAACCTTGCAAATGGGGTTCCAGAGAGCCAGTATCTTCTCTGAAAAGTGATTCAATATTTGTAATAGCCTTTAAGACTTAGGATCAGCTTGAAATGAACATTTGCAAGGCATGGCGGTGCCTCCAATAACCATATTACCACTGAAATTTTTTTCTAATATATTGTGGAGCCACTAAGTTTCATTGATTTAGAATTTAATGTTTCATTTGTGATTGGCAGTAATTTGTCTGTCAAGAAACTTTCCATGGACATTTATTTTGCTTTAAAAGAAAGAATTCTATTCTATGTCTTTTGCTATACCACCCCCCTCATTTTTTTTTCCTTTAGATGCTCAGTGGTCTATAAAAAATCTTAAAG